TGGTATTACTGACTCAGTGGACATGAGTTTGAGCAAACTCCAGGCGATAATAAAAGACAGGGAAGCTTGGCGTGCTGCAGTCTGTGGGGCCACAAAGAGTTGGACTTGGCAACTGAACAACAACAGAGAGGTCACTGTCTTAGAAGTTAGTAAAATAAGCAATTGTTGTAGAAAAATACATATCTGTTTCTAGTGTCACCAGAATCATTTGTGATCTCATAGAAATGTTGATTAGGACTTCTGTGTTCTAAGGTTCACGTCATGGCTATGAGTGTCATATGGCCCTCTTCCCAAAGTCTAGATCCTTGTCCTCTACTATATTTTATGTAGGTTTCATACTCAGTACCAATCCTGGTATTAATAGCAATAGCTGACAGTGGATATGTTGGTTTGGATCACTGTCTGCTCTTGGAAAAAGTGTGTGTCCTCCAGACCAAATAGGATCACCTTCAAAATCCCTGCATATTTTCCCTGCATATCTGTTTGCTGATGAGACAACATACCGGAGCCCAGGCGAGGACAGTAAGTGCAGACATGTGTCAAAGAACAAATATGAGTGGATTTTTTCATCAGTGAACAAACCTAGAAATGAGAGTAAGGTTATCATAACCATTTAAAAACAGGGACGTTATCTTTTAAAATGTTTTAAGGGGAAGGTATTAAATTTTCAAAAGTAAGCATCAAATTATATTACGTTAGATGCAAGTATCTTATTTTTTCTCATTCTTCTGTTGCCACTCCACTTTCTATATCAGCCTGTCTCCACAAAAACAGATTTTACAAAATAATGGGATTCTTTTTTTCTTTATTGACTAAGCAGTATATTATACACCTGCTAGGAGTTAATAAATGTTTGTTTAATAATGATTCATTAAATTGACCCAGTATGGTCTTACATTGGTTTTTTTCCACCTTGTTATATTTATGCAAAGTTGGTTTTGAGTTAGCTTTTGCAATCAGTATTTTATCAGTCGTGCGTAGTTAAGACTGTTTGCAAAGACCATTGCATAATCTGTCAACTCAGAGAAGAGTTTCTGACGTCTGCATTTCTGTTACTGAAAAGCAAATGAATACTTGACATGTGGCAGCTCTGTTTTATTCCCTCAGGGCAGCATAGGAAAACTGAACATGAAATAGGAGAGAGGCAGTAGCAATCAGATCTTCACTGATTAAAGCTTTATGTCTTTGTAAACAGTTCTGCTTCCTGTGTAATCTGGATTGAATTAAGTTCAGTTTTATACTGACAAGACGAGGATTATTCACTTATTCATTTCGGGCAATTTACAGAAAAAAAGTTTTCCCTGTTGTTAGCATTTCAAAGAAGGTTTGTTTATTGGTTGACTTGCTTATTCTTTTTTATTTTTATGTTATTTTGTGTTTAATAGAAGTTTCAAAAACAACATGGTGACCATACTACCAAAGAAGGGATTAAAAATAAATAAAAGCTCACCTACAATCCTATCCTTTTGTTTTTAGTTTTCTTTGCTTCCTTCCAGATTCCGTTGCAGTAGATTTAAAATTTCTCTTTTATTCATAATATTGGATATTAATTAATCACTTTATTAAGAGAGTGTTTTATTTGTGTGTGTATGAGTCTCTCAGTGATGTCCAACTCTTTGCGACCCCATGGACTGTAGCCCACCAGGCTCCTTTGTCCATGGGATTCTCCAGGCAAGAATACTGCAGTGGGTTGCCATTCCCTTCTCCAGGGGATCTTCCCAACCCAGGGATTGAACCCAGGCCTCCCACATTGCAGTAAGGATACTGTTTGAGCTACTTGGGAAGCCCTGTGTTTTATTTAGTTAATGACTAATAGTTATGCCTCATTCTGTGTATCAGCTGTTTCCTAAAGTTGTGTATGAATTGTCCAATTTTCACATTATCTTAAATCATTACTAAAATTCACCAGTGGGTCTTCGTTTCTGAGTACCTTTTAGTTGGCAGTTATTCCGAATTCTTGATCTTTGCACATCTCCTGTGTAAAAGCATTTAAATGGCACCGAAGGTCAGCATTTAGTAAATAGCTTCAGTTCTCCTCATACCTCAGTTGGCCTTTGTACAACTTCAACTTTTTACTTGGTTTGTCTTTAAGCAAGACATTTCTCTCCCTTATCTTCTAGATGTGTTATAATAGAAATAGCTATTTAAGGACTACCTACGGGTAGAAATTGATACACATTTGACTTACGGAAGTTTGATAGATTTTGACTTTGGAAGCACAAATATTGGCAAATTGGAGATATCATCTCTATTTGTGAATTTTCCAGCAACTATTTGTGAAGTGCCCTTCTTGGCGCTCCTTCAGGTGGTTTGGGAGATGCTGATGTGTGAAACTTTATTTGTACCATCAAGGAACTTTTCACTCATTTTTGTTTTTCTCTTTGATTTTTTTCTCTATATCCTTTGAATCAGTCACTATCAACATCAAGGACTTGCATTTATATTCATGAATGAATAATGTTGGGTGAGTTAGCTTTTTATACTAGAGTTAGCATGAAACCGGACTATTCACATCCCAGAAATTTGTTCTCTTACGAGCACAAGTCGTTGAGATTCAGTATAGAAAACGTGGGGCCTCCCAGGTGGCACAAATGGTAAAGAACCCTCCTGCCAGTGCAAGAAACGTGAGAGGTGTGGGTGTGATCCTTGGATCAGGAAGACCCCCTGGAGGATGGCCTGGCAACCCACTCCAGTATTCTTGCCTGGAAAATCCCATGGACAGAGGAGCCTGGCGGGCTCCGGTCCATAGGGTCACAATGAGTTGGACACGACTGAAGTGATTTAGCAAGCATGAATAGGAAATGTATTTTATTATTTTTAGTATTTTTTAATGAAATACATTTTGATAATCGTTTTCTTTTATGGAGATTAAGTTGAGGAGACTTCCATAGTTTATTTCTTAGGATAGAAAACTCCCAAGTTCCTCAGAGGAGTTATCAAGCTGTGAGCTTGTGAGTTTAGGTTATCGACAATGGTTATAATGAGATTGAAAGGTAATAATCTCTGTAGATCATTGTGCAGTAGAACTGGTAAACATGACTCTGAACTTCTAAAAGTTAAGTACATTTAATTTTATTGACTGAGAAGCTGCATATACTATTATATTCCCTATTCTTCAGTTATTTCCTAGTCGGCTGAGTTATGTCTTCATAGACAAGGCCATATATGGCCTTTTAATTTTTATGTTTCTTTTTCACATAAGTTGCACATATTCATTGGAGATAAATTTAGAAACACATGATAGCAATATAATATATATTATACGAAATACATAGAAGTAAAAATTAGCCTTCCACCCAAAGATCATTACTGTTAATATTTTGGTATATTGTGCTTCAGACTTTTTATGTAATATGTGTATTTTTCCCCTTACTCAATCCATACTTTGTTCTTCAATGTTAGATTATTGGGGCCTGTAAGGTGTGGGGAGTAAGACTTTCTATCTACCTCATTCATTCCATCTAAAAAAGAACATATACTAGACATGGACTTTGGCTTTATTTATTTACTTAGAAATTGTAAGTAAATATAAATAAATGTGTGTTTTATTACAAATTAACACTTTAGGCATAACTGAATAGTAGTTTCATTTAAAAATCTCTGAGCATGTTTTGGGCTTCCCTTGTGGCTCAGTTGGTAAAGAATCTGCCCACGATGCGGGAGACCTGGGTTCGATCCCTGGGTTGGGAAGGTCCCCTGGAGGAGGGCATGGCAACCCGCTACAGAATTCTTGCCTGGAGAATCCCATGGCCAGAGGAGCCTGGTTGGCTACAGTCAGTGGGTTGCAAAGAGTTCGACATGACTGAGCGACTAAGCACAGCATAGCACACAAGATGTTTGGGGGGAAATTTTTTAATTCTAAAAGGTTCAAGTGGCTCTACATTTAAATGAACAGAATGAAATGAAAGCAGAGCTCACAAGTAATTGCCAAAGCTGTAGACCACATAATGATGATGTTTTTAACCTGCTTTTAGGCTTTAACTAGACTCTAAGTCCTGTAAAGCTAGGGGCTGTTCCTGTGTTCCACACCATTCTAGAGACAATCTTAGGAGTGTAGTCTAGACTACAATCCCTGGGGTGTAATAAGGCCTAAAAAATATGAGTTCAAGAAATGATTGAAGACAAGACAGAGAGAAACAAAAAGATGAGGTGATTTACCCCTTTGCTTGCTGCAGGGGTAAATGAGATATCTCTTGGAATTTATTTCTATTGACATAGCTTTAAAAATTACAACAACAGGGGCTTCCCTGGCCCTCCAGTGGTTAGGAATCCATGCTTCTAATGCAGGGAATGTGGGTTCAAATCCTAGTTGGGGAACTAGCATCCCACATGCCAAACAGCCAGAAAGCAAAACAAAGAAAAGACACAAAAACAAACAAAAAGCTGTGTCAAAGTTTCTATCCCAACATGCTTTAACTAAATTTTCAAATAAAATTATCTATTAAAAAATTGCAATAGCAAACAAAAATGGCAAATCCTTTTAATTGCCCATGGTTCCAATTCCTTTGCTCCCCAAATAAGCCGCTTGTGGCAGTCCCTTCTAAAAGGCCACGTGAAAGTGCACTCAGAAAATCACAGCTTGGGCTTACTGCTTCCCAGGTGGAACTAGTGGTAAAGAACCACCAGCCTGCCAATGCTGGAGATTCGGATTCTATCCCTTCAGAGATGGGGATTCCCTGGAGAATCTCCCCAGAGATTCGGGATTCCCTGGGTTGGGAAGATGCCCTGGAGAAAGAAATGTCAGCCCCCTCCAGAATTCTTGCCTGGAGAATCCCATGGACAGAGGAGCCTGGCATGAGGTCGCAGAGAGTCAGACATGACTGAAGTGACTTAACGCAGCGTATTTAACCCTCCTGACTGCTCCGGGGCCACACCTCCAGCATCAAGTTAAAAGCAGTCAGGTGCCACAGCTGCCGGGAAGCTGGGCAGGGAACTTCTGAGAGGGTTCCAGACCAGCTTTTAATGCCGTCCCTTCTCTTCCTCAGGTTGCCGTCTTCAAAATGATTCCCTGCAGGGCAGCGCTGTCTTTTGCCCGATGTCTGGTCCGGAGGAAAGTCGTCACTCTGGACAGTTTAGAAGATACCAAATTGTGTCGCTGCCTGTCCACCGTGGACCTCATCGCCCTGGGGGTTGGCAGCACGCTGGGCGCTGGGGTCTACGTGCTGGCCGGGGAGGTGGCCAAAGCGGACTCTGGCCCCAGCATCGTGGTCTCCTTTCTCATTGCTGCCCTGGCGTCCGTGATGGCAGGTCTTTGCTACGCGGAATTCGGGGCCCGAGTTCCCAAGACGGGGTCTGCCTACTTGTACACTTACGTTACTGTTGGAGAGCTGTGGGCCTTCATCACTGGCTGGAATCTCATTTTATCTTATGTGATAGGTATGTTTCCAAAAACTCAACCTAATTGCTTAGGATGGTAGAAATAGCACTCCTGAGTCAGCGGCCTTAGGGTTCTGTGTAGGGTCTGCTTTAACTAGCGCCTCGGCGATCTGAATATATCACTTACTCCCTGTGTGTCTCATTTTTCTGGTCTCTCAGTGACTCCTAATCACAAAATTCAGTGATTCTGCTTTTTTCCCTGTATATGTCCCTTAGTGAGCTTGAAAATCTGTTTCTTAAAAAACAACAGTTCTTTAATGCAAGTAAAGTTACCGGATTCCACAGTTACAGACTTGAGGATTTGCTTGCTATTGTGAGATAATGTTATATGTGTTGAAAATGTTCAATTCTGTCTGAACTAACTCATGTTTGTCCTAGAATAGAGGCGTACAAGATGGTATTAATTTTCTCCCACTGACCTTGTATATTCTGTGGTTTGGAAGGAACATCAAGTGTTGCAAGGGCATGGAGTGGCACTTTTGATGAACTTCTTAGCAAGCAGATTGGTCAGTTTTTCCGGACATACTTCAAAATGAATTATACTGGCCTTGCAGAGTATCCAGACTTTTTTGCTGTGTGCCTTATATTACTTCTTGCAGGTAAGAAAACCAGTTACACTTCTCCCTAAGGTGAGCCAGATTAAATTGGAAAATAGGTTACCGCTGAATTTTGGACCGAAGTGCCAGGGCTAGGCAAGATATTTACACACGGAAGTTACTGTTGGAGATCTGTGGGCCTCGTCACTACCTAGAATCACATTTTGTCTTATGTGATAGGCATGTTTCAAAAATAAATCTAGGGCCTCCCAGGTGTCTCAGTGGTAAAGAATCCACCTACCAATGAAGGAGACGTGGGTTTGATCCCTGGTCTGGGAAGATCCCATATGCCGTAGAACAACTAAGCCCATTTGCCGCAACTTCTAAACTTGTGCTCTAGAGCCTGGGAGCCAGAGCTCCCGAGCCCTCGTGCTCTTGAGCAACGAGAGACGCCACCGCAGTGAGAAGCTGGCACGCTGCAACTGGAAAGTAGCCCACATGCATCACAACACTCATCACTCATCACAACTCAGTGACAGAGACCCAGCACAGCCAATAAATAAATAAAATGTTGTGTATGTATAAAGAAATCTAAATTATACAGAACTGTAGAAATAGTATTGGTACTTCCGAAATAAATGATACCCGGAAGGCACTAAATAATCAGATAAGGTACATCAATTTTATAATATGAATTGGAGATTTGTGGAAATGGCTACAAAGTTTCAAAATAAGGAAGTATGTAAAATTCGGGGCATTATTTCATCTTGTCAGTTACAACTAAAGATGTTTGCAAGCATACTGTTTCTAGAAGAAATTCAGTCTTTCTATTTATGCCTATAGAATGTAGACATCTGGTTGAAAAGGGAGCATATTCAAACCACCTGTCATTTTTCTGATGCAGACATTATGTAAACAAACATACTTGTTGCTAGAATTTTCCCATTTTCATCAGTTGTGTAGCATAGTGGTTTAGAAAGGCAGAGGATTTAGAATCAAGAGTGACCAGGTTTTCAGTTCTACTCTGCTGCTTCCTATCTGTGGAACATTGGATGACTTAATCTTTCCATGACTTAGTTTGTTCATCCATAAAGTAAGGATGTCAGTGTTTAACTTATGCAAGCTTCTTGCTTGATGCATAGTAAGCACTTAGATGGCAGGCAGTTTCATTTTGTAGACACAGCTCATCCCTGCCTGATATTTATTTTAATTATTTGAACATTTTCAATGTCATTCTACCTTGTACTCCTGCTAAACCCATCAAGCATTGCACTAAGAATAAAGTTCATGTCTGTTTGTACTTTCTGCTTGATATACTCTTGCATTCCTGTCCAACCTTATCTCGAGCTACTTTCTCCCTCTCTTTCTATAATTTTTCCTTAAAAAATTATATAATTAAGGAACTTCCCTGGCAGTCCAGTGGTTAAGACTTAGCCTTCCAGTGCAGGGGTTGAGGGTCGATCTCTGGTCAGGGAAGCTAAGATCCGACATGCCTCATGGCCAAAAAAACAAAACATAAAACAGAAGCAACATTGTAGCAAATTCAATGAAGATTTTTTTTTAAATGGTTCGTATCAAAACATATTTTAAAAATTATATAATTAAAAATAGCTTTGCCCCTTAAAATGTTAGCCGTTAATTTGATGTTTTATGTAGGGACAGGGTTAGTGACATGAACAAAATTTTTAGGTCCTAATTATTTGATATTTTCTTCCTAATGTCAGAAAAAATTGCATCAGTGGTTTTTCCACAGGTGTTAGGCTTTGTTTGTTTGTTTTGGTTTCTCAACAGCCTAGTAACATTAAATTACTTACACCACACTTTATTTAGGGATGGTTTCAGTGACCTTAAATATTCAGCTTTAATCTCTAAATGATGAGAAGCATGTAGCTGTGACACCGTTCCCGTCATTAAATTCCGTGGCAAGACTCAGGCCTTGGCTTGCATCTTACGTCCCGAGTTCATCGAGCATCATGCCTTTCTTTCAGGACAGGCCAAGATTACAGGCTAACTTTGTTCTTAGAAACTTTGAAGACCAAAACCTCCTGCTATAATCTTTATTCATATTGCAATGTCAATTGTCTTATCAACTGAGGCTGTTGTTTTTATTAATGATACAAGGGAAGCATAGGCAGAATTTCAAGAGGTAACTAGTCTACTGGCGGGAGCTGGGGCTTTCAGAATGAGAGCACACTTGGGGTATTGGGAAACAAACCATGGAGGTGGCTTTGTTATTTTCCAAAGTCTTATAGCAATACTGTGTGTGTTTCCAAGGTGTATAGTTGTATAGTGTTTCCTGATCTGACAGACAATTGCAGAGTCAGTCACTGTGCTGAGAGAGTCAATAATTATACTGACCATACAGTCTTCCTTTATGTTGCTACTACAGTTGTGTTCTTGTATAATTCTGGGGATGAAATTCAGCATTCTCCTCCCGACTTGTATAATTTTGCTGATTTGACATGGGTGGTATACATATAAGTAAATATGTGATTATAAGCCTTTCATCACACTTATTCCCCCAACAGTAAAAAGTAAACTTTCTTTGATCCATAATTCATACCTTATACAGGATGGATTAAAGTATTAATAAGATAGATACAATCATGAAAGGACTGGAAGGAAATATCGGTGAATGTTTTGAGGTTAACATTAATCTTCCTAGAGGTAGAAACTAGAGGAAAAAATTATACTATAAAACTTTCTTACATGTGTTATCAACACTAAGGTTAAAATTAAAATTAGTACATGATAATTAAGTAGACCACAAGCAGTGTCTGCCATAAAAACTGAATCTTCTTGTTAACAGAGTAAAATAAAACTCAGCAAAACCTTTGTCATTCTTTTATTGGAGAAATAGGCTAGCCCATATTTCAAATTAACCACATTGTTTTAATATTTGTAATTTGGGAGATACAAAATTGTAGAAATTTAGAACTAGAAGGGAACTTAAAAATTATTTAAGTGCATAATTCACTTAATTAATGTGGTAAGTGGAGTCCATCAGGTTATAATCTACTCCACATCACTTGGCTTTGTAATTGCGGAGCCAGCCCGGCCTGTTGATTTCCTTTTCAACGCAGGAACTGCCCATGTGTTTGCCCCTAGCATGCTTGAATCTAGATAATAAATGGCAATATTATAATGGTCTTCTTTCCTCAAAAAAGTACATGATAAATTGGGAAAAACATGCTGTATACATGTACAATCAGAGAGCTTATAGCTTTATTGTATAAATAAGCTTTATAAATCAGTACAAATAAGAATAACCTAACAGGAAAAAATGGACAATTTCAACTGGCAAAACTTTCTGGAAACTGTTCTGACAGTATGAAACAAAAGTCTTATATAAAGTGTATATCACTGATATGATGCTACCTTGTAGAAAATTATTGTAAAGAAATGATTAGAAGGTGTTAAAAGATATTTGTAAAAGGATGATTAGGTCAGTATTATTTATAGTCGTAAGGAACTAACAATGACCTGTTTGTAGATATAGGAGTAAAGTATAGTGTATTCATAGAGTAGAAGAGTATGTGGCTGTTAAAAATAAAATTATATATTTGTTGACATGGAAATATGTGTGTGTGTGTGTGTGTGTGTGTGCGCGCGTGCAAAATTCTGAAGAGATTACTCTTGATCTTTTCTTTCTTTTTTTCTGTATTTTCAAGTTATTTGAGTAGGAAATTGATTGCCTTTACAATCAAAATATAAAAATAAAGCTATTAAAGTGAGAATTGATTCAATAAGATCTTTGGAGTGACAGTTGAAGAATTACTTTGTTTAATGTATTTAGTAAGTAGGAGGCAGAAAATATGATTGAAAGAATAGAGAAAGAAAATTTTCTTTCTAAATTTTGTAGCCATTAACCTTGAAATTGCTTTTTAAGAATAGCATTTCATTAAAATTAGGTTACTTTACCTCTACCTGGCCCTGCCCACCTGTGAATGATTCCGAATGTTACTAGCACATCCGCCTGCCTGAAATGCTAGGGCTTCCCTGGTGGCACTAGTGGTAAAGAACCCACCTGTCAATACAGGAGACAGGAGAGGTGGGTTTGATCCCTGGGTCAGGAAGCTCTCCTGGAGAATGGCATGGCAACCCACTCCAGTAATCTTGCCTGGGGAATCCCATGGACAAAGGAGGCTGGCGGGCTACAGTCCGAGGGTCACAAAGAATCAAATATGAGTGAGGTGACTTAGCATGCTCCTCTACCCACCCATTGATAATAATACCCAGTTCCTAAATGTATTCATTAATTGGAGAGTGTGAAATCTCCCGGCTATGAGCACAGTCTGCATTCTGAAGTCTTTAGTTCTGTATACACTTAGGTGACTGAGTGTATCCCTCTCCATAGACAGGGATAGTGTCAGTTAAATATATGAATCCTGCTGAAATAATATCCTAAAACCTGTAACTGTCTCAAACTGCTGTAGCCTTTTCCTAAAGGTGAGGTAAAAATTAAAGCACCCTTTATTTTTCCATAGGTCTTTTATCTTTTGGAGTGAAAGAATCTGCTTGGGTGAATAAAATCTTCACAGCTGTCAATATCCTAGTGCTTCTCTTTGTTATGGTTGCTGGGTTTGTGAAAGGAAATGTGGCAAACTGGAAGATTAGTGAAGACTTTCTCAAAAATATATCTGCAAGTGCCAGGTAAAATATTTGGGTTTTTTCCCTCCTATTTTGAGTGTTTTTTTTTTTTTAAATTTGCCTGCTTTTGTCTTATGTTACATTTTCCTCTAGAACAACAGTTCTCAAATTTTCTTAGTTCAGAGAACTTTGTGAAGGTCTATTCTATTTCAAGACTGTTTTTCCCAGGTTTTCCCCAAAGCACAAGTGTGTAGGTATGTTCACCACTGAGCAGCTGTTTCAAGCTTGTGAAGCTGCTGATTCTTAACTTCAGGTTTGGCTTTGGGTTTAAGGGAAGAAATGAGAGATCTCAACCATTGGAAGAATGTTTTTTCCCCCAAATGTTTGCCACTTCTAAATAACAATGAACATTTTTGGATCATGCATCCTTTTGTTTTTCCCTTTAGAGACACCATTTGATTCCACTGCATCCTTTCAACCTTGTAGTAATTTTCATGCCTGATTTTTTTTTCTTGAGGATGTTATTGATTGCATAAGCAGAATTGTCTATACATTTTACTTTAAACTTGATCTCAAAAATGAATTTTCAAATGAAAGTTTTTATCCTAAGATTTAAGTATAATATTCCTATGTGTAAATAAGATTACAGAAGTATCTATTACATGAAGTGATGTATATGTTTTTATTTACCTATGTTGTTTGTAGCCATTCTAATGAGGCAAAAATTTAGTATATTCTGGTTTTATACAATTTTTAACATGTAATAAAACTTCAGTATTATTTATCAAGATTAGAGGATTTTATTTCACTTTGTCACATGTCTTATAGTAAACTTTTCAAATGCTCAGTCTGTTCCGCTGTCTGTGATGAGAAAGTCTCTGGTCTTTATTTCAGATCATGGCCCATACATAGATGGGATCTCTGTTCTCAAAATCCTGCCTGGCTGTAAGTTCCAGCCAAAGTGGATCTGAGCCTCCTGCTCATGCTATTGATCAGCCTCCAGTTGAGAGCTGGCAACTGGTGAGGGAGCCATTGTTGGGAACACCATCACATCCTCTCGGACTGGGTGAAAAAAAATCAGGGTTTACTTTTAGTTTTGTACGTATTAGTTTCCAAGAGATGATGAACAGAGTAACCTTCCAAGAATGGAGTTTGAGACAAATCTCTTGAATAAGCAGTTTTCTGGGAAAATGACATTCCAATGTGCTGCTTCTCCTCCTCAGGGACCCACCTTCTGAAAATGGAACAAGCATCTATGGGGCTGGTGGCTTTATGCCTTATGGCTTTGCAGGAACTTTGGCTGGGGCTGCAACCTGCTTTTATGCCTTTGTGGGATTTGACTGCATTGCAACAACTGGTAAGAGCAGAGTTTTGGCTCTGTGTAGAAGGCAAGAGTGTTCCTTGAACCACATGAGTACCCATGGGTGACAACAGAAGGTCAAGGGAAGAGAGTGGAACTTGGGGTAATAAGGGCTTGTTCCAGACCCAAAAGTGGCCCCTGCTGTATGAAAAGAAACTTAATGAAACTCTCTGAGCTTTGGTTCCCATGTTAGTAAAATCAAGAGAGCAGAATCTGCCCCTCAGATGTTATGAAGGTTATCTAAGATACAGTACAGGTGTCCCAAATGGCTCAGTGGTAAAGAATCCACCTGCCAAGCAGGAGACATGGGTTTGATCCCTGGATCAGTAAGATCCCTTGGAGAAGGAACTGGCAACCCACTCCAATATTCTTGCCTGGGAAATCTCATGGACAGAAGAGCCTGGTGGGCTATAGTCCATAGGGTCCCCAAGATTCAGACACGCCTGACTGACTAAACAACAACAACAAAATACATTATGAAAAATACTGTGTGAGCTGTCAGCTATAAATGTTGGTTGTAATCACTGCCTTTAATCTTTGGTCTGGAAGTGCTATCACTGCTGCTGCTGCTAAGTCACGTCGGTCGTGTCCAACTCTGTGCAACCCCAAAGACGGCAGCCCACCAGGCTCCCCCGTCCCTGGGATTCTCCAGGCAAAAATACTGGAGTGGGTTGCCATTTCCTTCTCCAGTGCATGAAAGTGAAAAGTGAAAGTGAAGTTGCTTAGTCATGTCTGACTCTTAGCAACCCCATGGACTGTACCCTGCCAGGCTCCTCTATCCATGGGATTCTCCAGGCAAGAGTACTGGAGTGGGGTGCCATTGCCTTCTCTGAGTGCTATCACAGTGAGTAACAAATGATGATCATGCTCTTAAATTGTTTCTTCTTTAATAGGACAAAATATATTGTGATCCTTCTTTTCTCTTTATCCAGTACAAAAAGTACTCATGTTATAGTCACTCCCTAGTGCTTCCTCTGGGTTCACGGTATTGCAGGGCCTTATAATTGGCCGTATTTTGGGTATTTCAAATGCCAACTCTTGTTAGAAAGATCTCCAAAGTACTATTTTTTTTTTGAAACTAAAATTTAATATAAATCAATGCACTGAGTAGAAGTTTGTCTCCATATATTTGGGAGCCTTCATAATTAAGGGCCTGTAGAATGCCATGTTTAATGTCCATGGATGAATCATTTTCCAAATGGATTAAGACTGCTTTTCTATCTTTAAACATTTTGTGGTGCTAGAATAGCATGTTTTTTCTTTCTGGAAGAAGGAAACTGACTTGCAGGATATCTTGCTTTCTCTTCTTGCCTCTGGGCTTTGATCTTTTTATGACAGCATAGGGCCCTCAAGAAGAGAGAGAACTTCATGTAGCATAGATGGAGCAAGCTGAGAAAACAGAAAAGACAGAAGCTGAGTAGGATTACTATGAAGCAGAAGAAGAATTCATGTTTTACCTATTCATGTTTTGTTTTTAAAAAAATCTTTATTTTGTATTGAAGTATAGCTGATTAATAAAGTTGTGATAGAAAAACAACACTGTGATAATTTCAGGTGCCCAGCAAAGGGACTTGGCCATACATATCCACATATTCATTCTCCCCACACCCTCCTCCCATTCAGGCTGCCACATGACATCGAGCAGAGTTCTCTGCGCTATGCACTGTGTCCCTGTTAGTTATCAGTTTTATATATAGCAGTGTGTACATGTCCATCCCAAACTCCCTAACTCTCCCTTCCCTCGACCCTTCCCCCCAGCAACCATAAGTTTTTTCTCTAAGTCTGTTTTCAGTTTTGTAAATAAATGAGTTCATTTGTAACATTTCTTTTTTCTTTTTTCCATTTATTTTTATTAGTTGGAGGCTAATTACTTTACAATATTGTAGTGGTTTTTGCCATACACTGACATGAATCAGCCATGGATTTACATGTGCTCCCCATCCCGATCCCCGCTCCCGCCTCCCTCCCCACCCCATCCCTCTGGGTCTTCCCAGTGCACCAGCCCCAAGCACTTGTCTCATGCATCCAACATAAGCAAAACAGTCTCCGACATAAATCACAGCAGGATCCTCTATGACCCACCTCCCAGAATATTGGAAATAAAAGCAAAAATAAACAAATGGGACCTAATGAAACTTAAAAGCTTTTGCACAACAAAGGAAACTATAAGCTTGGTGAAAAGACAGCCTTCAGAATGGGAGAAAATAATAGCAAATGAAGCAACAGACAAAGGATTAGTCTCAAAAATATACAAGCAACTCCTGAAGCTCAATTCCAGAAAAGTAAATGACCCAATCAAAAAATGGGCCAAAGAATTAAACAGACATTTCTCCAAAGAAGACATCCAGATTGCTAACAAACACATGAAAAGATGCTCAACATCACTCATTATCAGAGAAATGCAAATCAAAACCACAATGAGATACCATTACACGCCAGTCAGGATGGCTGCTATCCAAAAGTCTACAAGCAATAAATGCTAGAGAGGGTGTGGAGAAAAGGGAACCCTCTTACACTGTTGGTGGGAATGCAAACTAGTACAGTTGCTATGGAGAACAATGTGGAGATTTCTTAAAAAACTGGAAATAGAACTGCCATATGACCCAGCAATCCCACTTCTGGGCATACACACCGAGGAAACCAGATCTGAAAGAGACACGTGCACCCCAATGTTCATCGCAGCACTGTTTATAATAGCCAAGACATGGAAGCAACCTAGATGCCCATCAGCAGACGAATGGATGAGGAAGCTGTGGTACATATACACCATGGAATATTACTCAGCCATTAAAAAGAATTCATTTGAATCAGTTCTAATGAGATGGGTGAAACTGGAGCCCATTATACAGAGTGAAGTAAGCCAGAAAGATAAAGACCAATACAGTATACTAACTCATATATATGGAATTTAGAAAGATGGTAACAATAACCCTATTTGCAAAACAGAAAAAGACACACAGATGTACAGAACAGACTTTGGGACTCTGTGGGAGAAGGCAAGGGTGGGATATTTTGAGAGAACAGCATCGAAGCATGTATATTATCAAGGGTGAAACAGATCATTTGTAACATTTCTTTATAGAGTCTGTATATAAGGGATGTCATATGCTATTTCTCCTCTGTCTGATTTACTTCACTCAGTATGAATTAAATCTCTAGGTCCATCCATGTTACTACAAGTGGCATTATGTCATTGTTTTTAATACTAAGTAATATTCCATTGTATATGTATATCACAGCATTTTACCCATTCCTCTGTTGGTGGACATTTAGGTTGCTTCCGTGTCTTGGCAATTGTAAACAGCGCTGCAATAAACTAGTTGTGTTTTATTAAATATGCAGTCTTCTGTTTATGTCTCCTTAGGTGAGGAAGTCCGGAATCCTCAGAAAGCTATTCCTATTGGAATTGTGACTTCTCTGCTCGTTTGCTTTATGGCCTATTTTGGGGTCTCGGCAGCTTTAACGCTGATGATGCCGTACTACCTCCTGGATGAGAAAAGCCCGCTTCCTGTGGCCTTCGAGTACGTTGGATGGGGGCCAGCCAAATACGTCGTTGCAGCAGGCTCCCTCTGCGCTTTGTCAACAAGGTACATCGCATTGTCTTTGGGGCAGGACTGCGTGGGTTACTGCAGAGGTAGTTGGTATCCACGGAATTGCTTTTGTATGTTTTAAAAACAATCCTAATAGGAGAAACATATCGTACAACTATATTCTCTGAATTGTTCACCCAGAATTGCTGTATCGAAATCTTAAGTGATAAAATCTTTTCCCCGTGAGCTGTTAAAAGTTAGAAGATAGTGATGGTCCAGGCTTCCAAGGATATGTATGGCATTTATGCACATTTATATATTTCATATATATTTGTATATGTATGTATTGTAAAACTTATTGTAAAACTTGACAGTACGTATACTAGTATGTTACCCTACTGTCTTTGGTGTTACTTATAGTGCTACAGACAACTGAGACCTCATGTGAAGACTTGACATTTTCTGCTGTTTTTTTTAAAATAATATCAAGTCTGTGTGAGTGAAAACTATATGCTGTTTTAAGTGTCAAGTGTACTTTAAGTGTAAAGTACTTTTTATCATGAAACATTGAAACTTTTTGTCTTAGCACTGATCAGAGTGAACTTGGTCTAGAAATAGAAATTACTGTTCTCAAGTTAATGGTGGAGATTTGTATACATCTATGTGATAAGGATAGTTGAATCTCAGGCATTCAGATTTTCAGTAGCTGCTTATTTTAATATTTTATAATTCATTTCTCAAGTTTCCTGAGCTACTCATATTTTAACTTAACATGTGATCATGTTCCACTTGAGTGCCGTACTGTAGAACACTGTTACAAAGGGAAAATTAATCTCTGCTTGATTACTAATTTTTTGAAGTGAAATTTTTCTAAAAGTCTGAAATTTAAAAAATAAATCTTTTTGTGTAATTCATCAGCCTAGCTCTTTTATCCCCCCCTCAAAATCCTTTTTGTTTTTTTGTATTCACGATAGTATTAAGCAGCAATCACAAATTACCTCTCTTGGATCCTTAGCCATCTGATAATACTAAGGTTTGTTCTGAATAGTTTCAAAAATCTGAACTGTAAAGATACTTTGTACCATAATTTTAGAAGAGAGACAGACAAAGATTTATCTGTGGCTAAGCTCAACCACGCTTTATTAAAAGATAAAGGAGATGGAGTTTAAAAAGTGTATCTTACTTATTTTCTCTTAAATTGTAAGTTTTTTTACAACTTAATCATGTATGGAATGATGTAGTCAGTAAACACACAAGTAATTAAAAACAGCTAAAGCAAAAATCATTTTCTTAAACTTCACTCTTGCTAATATTTAATTCAGGCTGCTTCTATATACTGAATTTACAGCGAGTTCATCTTTTTTCCTTTTTCTATCTTGATTATCTTATGCTGAGAATTATTTCAAATTTGATCAAAAAATCATGGTAAAATATATGTAAAAATGTGTAATTATTGAATAAATGAAGTGACTAGATACTATAAAATTAAATTACTGTCTTTTCTATAATTACATATCAATTTATAAATTTTCTAAGTTAAAAATTTTTTTTAATCTAATTACTTAGTTTTAATTCAGTAGTAATCATGGGCCTGCACAAATCTTTGCAGCATTGTTTTTAGCCTGATAATTGTGCTGAGCAGATTATCTCTGAGAGTATAATAAATTGCACCATGGTTAATATTTTTAAATACCCAATCATATTACATTTAAAAAATAACAAATAGCTGTGATGCTGAGTTTTATACAATGACTTAATTGCAGCTCTGTGATGTAATCTTGCATGAATGTGTTTGCCATACTGCATGTGTTTGCTTTTTATTCAGTCTTCTTGGATCCATTTTCCCAATGCCTCGTGTAATCTATGCTATGGCGGAGGATGGGTTGCTTTTCAAATGTCTAGCTCAAATCAATTCCAAAACGAAGACACCAATAATTGCTACTTTATCATCGGGTGCAGTGGCAGGTGAGAGAGAGTTGACTTTTATTAAGTAAAGGGGGATCTTTTTTCACCAAGGATTCTGGGAAGACAATGGAAAATTAGGTGGTTTTCTGTTTTGACATATATAAATATCAATTACTTCTCTGAATGTTTCCTGTTTTGAACATTTTTTTGGTATAGGTTCTGTACTCTAGTGTGTCCAGTCTTTACCTGTATAGACTCGTCTAGACTAATACTTGTAATAACTCACTTGTGGATTATGGATTTTTCTGTTCTAGTCTTCTGGGTTCCATGTTTCCTTTACCCCGAATTCTGTTTGCCATGGCCCGGGATGGTTTACTGTTTAGATTTCTTGCCAGAGTGAGTAAGAGGCAGTCACCAGTAGCTGCCACACTGACCGCAGGGGTCATTTCTGGTAAGCTTTACAAACATAGGATTCTTCAACATTAGACTCGAGCATTTTATGTGCATGCATGGACTTATAAAGCGGGTCTGCTTGCTGTGCATGTAAGTTGAAAACAAAATCACTGATAAATCAGGGTATGAACATTGGGATCACGTCTGCAAATGGTGGTGGCGGTGGTCTACTGAAATTCGTAACTGACCCTTTGAGATTTGTTACCATTTTGTTACCTTAACCTTTCTGCTTCTAACAAATGTGCAAAGGGTTCCAGTGGTTCCTTATCGTGTATCAAGTATTCACTGCTTTTCAGATCAATGAAACGAGCCCGTAAAATTGTATTATCACACACAAAATGTTAATTAAAGAATGATTACTTAATCCTTGAATTGTTAATTAAAAATAATGATTCAATATTTTGTTTATTATCCAGGATATAAGTTAAATATTGCTAAATGGTCATAGGATTTTTGAAAAGCTAAAGTTTACCCATTCTTAATTAAATATAAGAAATATCAAAGATAATTTATACTTGGCCATTGTTATCACTGCCCTCAGTATGGTGGCTAACCCCATTTCCTGGGCCCATCATAGTTCTTTAAGAGTTACTAATACCTATATTATCATAAACCCCATTAGGAATCTATTTTTCCTTTCAAGAGCTTTGATATTGTCATGTTTTCAAAAAAAAAAAAACTCCGGATGCTTCCCTTTTGGCATGTCATAATATCCATCAAAATGCTTTTGTCCAGATTCTTATTCCACATGAAAATTTTCAGATTTTGCAGATTGAGTGAATGACCTTAGTGGTGCTGTTATGGAGCAAGAGAAGGACTTTAGCAAGCTTTAGAGAAAAAACGGTAAACACTCTTAGTAGTATAAATTCAGACCAAAGATGATAATTTTATCGAGGCTCTGAATTGTTGGAAAATTATATTACAGAATACTAATATTTAATTATGTATGAAATAAGATTCTGTTAGAATCTTAAGTATTTTCCTAAACAACTGCCCTTTATAAAATGTCTTCTAATAAACTTGGCCCTTTATTAAGATGTATGTTGGGAGGTCAAATTACTTATTTTCTTACTGCTTAAGATGTCTGCCCCCATAAAATGAAGTTTTCACTAGACGATGTAAGGCCCGCTTTATGATTAAACAGTACATTACGATATTAATAAAAGTTCATAAATCTTGACAAAAGACAACATATTTTATTTACTCCATAAAAGCTTTTGTTTTTTCCTGTAAAATCTTGCCCATTAATTCTCTATTATGTATTCAGAATTTTAAAAAATTTACCCTTCTTCCTCTAGAAAGAATTTAATTTGACACCGTAATAAGATATAGAAATTAATAATTAAAAGAAGATAATTTTAACATTTTTAGTGCACTGAAACATTCAGTTCACTTCAGTCGCTCAGTCCTGTCTGACTCTTTGCAACCCCATAAATTGAGCACGCCAGGCCTCCCTGTCCATCCCCAAATCCCGGAGATTACCCAAACTCATGTCCATCGAATCAGTGATGCCATCCAACCATCTCATCCTCTGTCGTCCCCTTCTCCTCCTGCCCCCAATCTTTCCCAGCATCAGGGTCTTTTCCAGTGAGTCAACTCTTCACATGAGGTGGTCAAAGTATTGGAGTTTCAACTTCAGCATCAGTCCTTCCAATGAATACTCAGGGCTGATCTCCTTTAGGATGGACTGGTTGGATCTCCTTGCAGTCCAAGGGACTCTCAAGAGTCTTCTCCAGCACCACAGTTCAAAAGCATCAATTCTTTGGCACTCAGCTTTCTTCACAGTCCAACTCTCACATCCATACATGACTACTGGAAAAACCATAGCCTTGACTAGACGGACCTTTGTTGGAAAAGTAACGCATCTGCTTTTTAATATGCTATCTAGGTTGGTCATAATTTTCCTTCCAAGGAGTAAGCATCTTTTAATTTCATGGCTGCAGTCACCATCTGCAGTGATTTTGGAGAAAAAAGTCTGACACTGTCTCCACTGTTTCCCCATCTATTTGCCATGAAGTGATGGTACCAGATGCTATGATCTTAGTTTTCTAAATATTACATTTTTGCTATTTTGTAGTCTCACCTCTTGCTTGTTTTTAACTTAGATCAGAGAGCTTGTATGGATAATTCATCACTTTCTTCTGTTTTGGCTTCCTAAAACAGGTTATCTGTGATTCTTACAAGACATATTAAAATTGTAATCTAATGTATAGCTATACTAGCAATGGAAATTTTTCAAAATAAGGCATGGGATGTATTTAAGGAAACAATGTGGGACTTCCCAGTGGTTCAGACTTCATCTTCCAATCCAGGGGGTATGGGCTTGATCCCCGGTCAGAGAGCTGAGATCCCACATACCTCAGGGCTGAAACACCAAAACATAAAGTGGAAGCAATATTGTAACACATTCAATAAAGACTTTTTAAACGGTCCACATAAAATCTTAAAAAAAAAGGAAAAAATTATGTGCTATTTTAGAAGGGCCACTGGCAGGCATATTGGTTTAGCTGGAGCCTTCTTCTACCTGCAGTGCAGAAGACCTGGGTTCAATCTCTGGGTTGCAGATCCCTGGAGAAGGGCATGGCAACCCACTCCAGTATTCTTTCCTGGAGAATCCCATGGACAGAGGAGCCTGTTGGGCTACAGTCCATGGGGTCCAAAGAGTCAGACATGACTGAGTGACTTACACGCACACACACCACTTCTACCCAGTAGTTGTAATCTTGCTAAGTTAACCCGTCTATTAAAAGAGTAATGATCCTATCAGGTTAAACCATGTGAAATTGCTGGGGTTTATTCAAAAACAGTCAAGTGCTGATCTATAAAGCTGAACCTAAATGATTGCCCCCGTCTCATAGAACTGTTGAATTGAAGATAAATTGAGATCATAAAGATAGAAAGCACTGCTGAGATGTCTGGAGTGCCACATGAGTGGGGTGTGATGTTCTCTACTTATTATGATAAGGACAACTATTTGGTAAATTCCAGTTAATATCATCACTAGTTTGATGCTTCATTGGAGAAAAAAATTGCAGGCTGCAAGTTAACTATTCAACTATGTGAAGTATACTTTGCCTCTTAACATTATTAGGGCTTGGAGGTAGACCCAAATGGTTTAACTTTAATCAAAGTGTGTGGTTTTAATCAGGATAGGATTTATATTCTATCTGAAGCATAATTTAATTGGACCTTATCCTGTCCAAGATATAACTCAGAATGCAGATGGAAAGTAAAATGGTTATATAACATCTATAATGAAAGCTCTTCCATTTGAATTCTTTTATTTATTTATTTACTTATTTAAAAGGAGCCTGCCAGTATTTCCTGGCAGTGTTTTTTCTTCTGAAACATCAAAAGCGACTATTCTCTCATACAGTATTTTCACTCTTTGTCAGGGCAATATTTTTTAAGTAATCAAAGTAGATGTATTTTGTACTTGATAGATCGCTGAGGGGTTTTGAAGTTTTATTAGCAGTGTTTATGACCTAAGGAACATCTTATTAACTGTGAGAAATATACTTTCTATGCTTTACTTGACTTATCATCGGCACTAAAACAAAAAATTTCCCATCCCTTGTCTCTGATTTGGCATCAGCTGTGTGGAATTTTCTCACAGGCGCTCTTCTTTCCCCTTCTTTCTTTTCCCCAACAGCTGTGATGGCGTTCCTGTTCGACCTGAAGGCCCTCGTGGACATGATGTCCATTGGGACACTTCTGGCCTACTCTCTGGTCGCAGCCTGTGTCCTCATCCTCAGGTGGGCTGTCCTGCTTGCCAGATGGTTCTGAAGCGTGTGTGTCAGTTGGCACCCGGGAAATAAAGACAGTTAGGGCTCACTGGCCTTGTTTGCATGGAGTTAGGAGAATCCCAGAGAAAGAGGTGCCTGGTGGGCTGCCGTCTATGGGACCGCACAGAGTCGGACACGACTGAAGCGACTTAGCAGCAGCGGCAGCTGTCTCACAGAAGTGAGAGGCCATGGGCATACAAACGTGAATGCGAAGCCTATTTAGCATACTTGGTCCTTAAGCAAATAAATACCGTTGTTAATAGGTTGGCCTAATCTGTGTGAACAACAGATTCTCATCATGCATAGGAACACTTTAGAATGCTGTATTTTTAGTCCTGGTGATGCAGCTGCTAAGCCCCCCGGCTAAAGCTTTAATCTTTACGTGTACGGCCGCGTCCGTTTGCTGTTGGCCTGAAACTCTCAGAACGGGCTTAACTGGCTGTGCTGGCGCTCAGCCTCTCAGTCGTGACCGACTCTTTGCAACCCCACGGACTGCAGCACGCCAGGCTTCCCTGTCATAGTATAATGATTAATAAACAAACAGTAAGTTCCTACTATATTCATGGGGTCACAAACTGTCGGACACGACTGAGCCACTGAACTGAACTGACTGTAGCACAGTATCCCATAATGAACATAATAATAAACATAATGATAATAAACATAATAAACAGTATCCCATAATAAACCATAATGGAAAAGCATATGAAAAAGGACATATATGAACTGAAACACTTTGCTGTATACCAGAAACTAACACAGCATTATAAATCAACTATACTTCAGTTAAAAAAATAGAATAGTTACAGAAGAGTACATTTATTCAGTAGACTGTTCTACAGCAAATAAAATGATATTTAATATATGGAGAGATATATCAGTTTCTGGGTGCAAAGCTATATGTAGTATCTGAATTTATTTAACTAACAATCATTTTTTGCAAATATATATACATATTTGCATTTTTAACTGGCTGAAATTGTAATAAAATGCTAACAGTGATTCACACTGAATGTTATGGATGGTTTAATTTTCTTCTGCATGCTTTTATGTATTTTTTCCACAGTGAGCATATTTCTTCAGATGGGAAACAAATAATAGTTTTAAATTTAAGCAAAAGCTTCTCAGAAGATCGCACTGGGGAGACCAGGGCAGATGTTGGGAGCTAAAGCAGGCTGATATCTTGACACCAGCCAAAGAGGAAGGGGATCAGTATCAAAGGAGAATGGGCGGAGGTGGCTGATGAGGGAGATGAGACTGGAGGCAGGCTGCAGTGAGACCTTCCACTACCAAACTGAAGGCTGCATATTATATTCCCCTGTGCGTGCGTGTGTGCTAAGTCGCTTCAGTCGTGTCTGACTCTGTGCGACCCCGTGGACTGTAGCCCGCCAGGCTCCTCTGTCCATGGGATTCTGCAGGCAAGCATACTGGAGTGGGTTACCATGCCCTCCTCCAGGGGATCTTCCCGACCCAGGGATTGAACCTGCGGCTTCTGCGGCTCCTACACTGCAGGCACTGTTTACTGCTGAGCCACGGGGGAGGCCCCTGTTACCCTGTAGCTGATATTTAACCGGGGTTTCTGTTAACAGGGTTGCTGTGTTCATGAATGGCATCTCCCTTGAACATAGATAACCAGAGTAATCATTTATCGTCACAGGTGCCTCATGTTAAAATGTAACTCTCTTCAGCATCTAATATATATAACTTTCTAATCAAGTGGCTATCAGGAAATTTGGAGTTGCTGCAGGTATTTTGCTGAGCACGTGTGTGACCTGCCTCAGCAACCCTGAGGCTGCAGCCACAAGACTTGTGCATTTACTGCACCAGCTGTGAATGGAAATATCTCCGTTAGAGTTTTAGGTACTTGTTTCATTTGGACCAAGTGTCTATTTGAGAATAAAGACACACACTTTTACTTGGAATAGGTACCAGCCTGGCTTATCTTACGAGCAACCCAAGCATTATTCTGAGAAAGAAGCTCTGGGATCGTGTGCCAACAGAACCCCCAAAAGCGAGTCTCAGGTCACCATGCTGCCAGGACAGGGCTTCAGCCTGCGAACCCTCTTCAACCCCTCGCTTCTGCCCACAAAACAGTCTGCTTCTCTCGTCAGCTTTCTGGTAGGATTCCTGGGTAAGTTCCCTTCACTTGTATACATTATAAAGACCCAGTGTGTGTGTGTGGGTGGAGCAGGTATGATGTGATAAGAGGATGAAAGAATATGTTAGCACTGCTCTCAGTCCTGAAATGTTCACCTAAGGGGTCACTGGTCATTGAGACCTTCCTTATGTTAGCAGGTTAAGTTGATGGTATATTGGTAATTGAAGAAGAAAGGAAGAAATTCCCTAAGGCAGGGGTCCCCGCCCCTGGGATCTAATGCCTGATGATCCGAGGGGGGGGGGGGCTGATGTAATAATAATAGAGAGAAAGTGCACAGTAACCGTAACACACTTTAATCATCTTCAAACCATCCCCTACCGTCCATGGAAAAATTGTCTTCCATGAAACTGGTCTCTGATGCCAGAAAGGTTGGGAACTGCTGCCCTGAGGTGAGGGTGGCAGAAGTACAGAATTGGTCCATTTCGTGAGCCATGGGGGTTCTTCCTGTGGGAAGCGAAGCACCCCTGCCCGTAGCTGAACTGGGACCCGGGGAGCGTGGGAGGCCGTACTGCAGATCCTGCTTGCTCACCCACAGTTACGTAATCAAGCGTATTTTCAGCAACATTTATTGATGTGCCAGGAACCCCCCTGGGCACTTGGGATGTCAGGAAAGATGGTTCTTGCTCATTGGACTTTACAGAGCAGCCGCATTGGTGGCGAGCTAAGGGCAGTACAACTTTATCTGAGAGCGCATGGGAGGGACCCCTAATTCAGACTCGATGATCAGAGATCATCTGGGTAGGCAGTGATGCCGCTCTGAAACAGGGAGAAAAGGTGCAGATCATGTATTATCTGTTTATATGAACAGTGTCTACAACAGCTGAACACGAACAGACTTGCTTTCCCCATTGGAAAAAAGGGAACTAGCCACCCTGGACAGTGTTCCATCAATCCAAGTGATGCCGTCGGAGACTGGCAGGAAGGCGGGGCGGTAGAGGCCAGAGGGGGGCCGCCTTCTAAGGAGGAGACAGTCACGAGGGAGCGCAGCGGGGTTCCTAAGTCACGGACATCAGGCATGTCTTTCCAACGTAGAAACGAAGAATCTTAGCATTTGGCAGAGTAGATACATAAATAACTTGATATCAGAATAGACTTTGAATGCAGGGGTCTGAGTGAAGGTCACGTGCTGGTCTTGTTTCACGAGCATGTCATCTCCGCAGCATTCCTCATCCTGGGCCTGAGTGTTCTGACCACGCACAGCGTCCACGCCATCGCCAGACGGGAAGCGTGGAGCCTGGCTCTCCTGGTGCTGTTTCTCGTTCTCTGTGCTGCCGTCGTGCTCATCATCTGGAGGCAGCCCCAGAATCAGCAGAAAGTCGCCTTTATGGTATGTGTCATGAGGATTCATGATCCTAAATATCATGCATGTTTACTCTTGTACGTTAGTTTTTGTGACTTTAAAAAAAAAAAAAAGCACTCTGATGATGTTAACCAGTGAACAAGAGCGACACGGTCGTTTGGGATGCTCCTTTTTGTCTTAAGTATTCTTTTCAAAAACTTGAGTGTGCTCCTAGTACATTATTCTATATAATAGTAAACAAATTTCTTGTTCAGTACTCTAAAGCATCAGAAAAATAACTAGAATATTTTACAAATTCAAGGAAGTCCACACCCAAAGCCCTTTCACTGTGAATTGAAGTTATAGTCTGTCCCATTTGAACTAAGAGCAGAATTTAGCTTGAAGAGGGTTTCCTGGAAGAAGCCCCCTGAGATCTCAAGAGTAGTCAGAGTTCCAGTGGCATGCCCTCTTAATATCGGAATGAAACCAGTAAACCCTGAGCTAGACCCTGAGACCTGCTGCATCTTGGTGATAATGCCGGTGTTAGCGGCTGGATAACCCTCTGTAGCTTTGCTGCAGTCAACAATGGGAAATACGGGGCTCCTTTTAGTATCCTCTGGATGTTGTTGTTTAGTCACTAAGTCGTGTCTGACTCTTTTGCAGCCCCATGGACTGTAGCCCGCTGGGCTCCTCTGTCCATGGAATTCTCCAGGCAAAAATCCTGGAGTGGGTTGCCATTCCCTTTTCCAGGGGATCTTCCCAACCCAGGGATTGAACCCGGGTCTCCTGCATTACAGGTGGATTCTTTACCATTGAGCCATCTGGGAAGCCCATTCTCTAGATGAGTGGTTTTTGTTCAAGTAGTTCTTTTTGTGAGAATATAATCTTAAACACTGTGACAGTATCTGTGTATGTCAAATTAGTTGCCACCATGTCAAAACAAGTTGAGGAATGTGTTTTAAAATTTGAGTATATCTGAGATGTTTTCCCTCCTTAGGTTCCATTTTTACCGTTCCTGCCAGCCTTCAGCATCCTGGTGAACATTTACCTGATGGTCCAGTTGAGTACAGACACCTGGATCAGATTTAGCATCTGGATGGCGCTTGGTAGGTCTTCTCCTGTTTTCACTTTCTGAACGTGGGCTCTCTCTTTCCCATGTCATGTGCCATTTCAGAGAAATGCACCCCACCCCCTTCCTAGAAACAAGAGCTTTTTTTTGGTTTCCTCCTTTCCCAAGTTTTAGAATACCTGAGTGCCTACTTTTCCAGATGTTTTCCAAATACCTTTTTATAATTCGGTTGCTGCAGTAACCCTGTAAAACTCTGTAGATCCTATTTTTTCTAACTTCTTGAGTGAGAAAAATTAAGCTTCCCCCATCAAAAGTCAAGGGATCTAGTTTGCAAATAGCACCCCTGGAGTCTGATTGCAGAGCCAGTTCCTTCCAGAGCACCATTGAATTTCTGGCAACATTTTGAATGAGCTAATTGCAAGAAATTTCTTTTCTGATACCCAAATGTCTTTCTGTTAGACCCGTGGGGTGGAGTTTGACCTTACATACTGTGAATGAGCTTATTTACATCTATACTGCATTGGTTTTCATCATGATTTCTTCAGTGTCCTGTGTGAAAGCTGACTTGGAAATTCAGACTTTAACTTTATCATAACTGGTGGCCTGAGGAGTTTGAGAGTTTGTGCTCTTTGACGGTTTTGGCATAATGAGTCTCATTCACTTTTGTGTGTGTGTGTGTATTTGCTTTGGCTATAAATTAACTTCATTTCGGTCTCAGGCCATAACCTAGTTGTTTTTCCCCTCCCCCAGCCGCTACCCTAGGTTTGCCCATTTGGGGGGATCTGACACAGTGCCAGGGAATTTGGGTGGATCAAAAGTTACCGTCCACACAGGTTGCACTGGGGCATTCTGTCACTGCGGCCGCTCCCGGTCGGCAGCTCTGTCGCATCAGGGCCGGGATCCTGATGGGAGCCCCCTGTGACTCAGCGGTGCCCTCCGGAATGAACCAGTCATTCCTTCCAGGTCTCCCCACCTCCCCGGGGCACAGGAAGCGGAACTCCCTCCCTTTCTTGGAGCCCAGAAGACACTGAACTCTGGCGGAGAGCTTCCCCACGCTCCTGCCTCTCCGCGGACCACTGCCTCTCTCCTCCGGTGGTGGCTCCGTGAAGCTCAGCCGTGTGCCTGACCTTGCAGAAGGGCGGGAACTGCAGGACCAGACGCCCCATGTTTCAGTCCTCCCCTGCCGCTTTGTAGCCGTGTCGCCTGGTTCACGTTCCACCCCTGCTTCTGTGCCTGTTTCTTTGTAAAATGGTGGCATTGCTACCTTTATTTGAGGACAGGAAGGCTAGAGCACCAAACCTCTAAGGACATGAGAGGAAACAGAATCAGTTCTCACAACTGCACATGCCAAAATACACATTGGTGGCCTGCTTCCCATTAGTTTACCTAGGAAAATTATAAGGCATTTCACATCAACCCAAAACTCTCAGTCAATTTTTAAAATTATAGCTAAAACACAGCAAAAATGCCTACATATCCTGTGAGAATACTTAAAACCTCTCCCCTCTGATCCTCAGTCAGTGTGGTTGTTAATAAACGGTTGCTTTGCACATAGTTATTCATCCTCTCCTGGTGACAGTAACGTTTGTAAGGCACACCCCTGTTCCTTGCTCACACAGGGTGTGTGTGTTGTCACGTTGGTTATGTCTGACTCTTTGCAACCCCGTGGCCTGTAGCCCGCCGGGCACCTCTGCCCATGGGCTTCTCTAGGCAAGAATACTGGAGTGGGTTGCCATCCGCTCCTGCAGGGGATCTTCCCAACCCAGGATTCAAATCCAGGTCTCTGGCATCGCAGGCAGATTCTTAACCCACTAAGACACCTGGGAAGCCCATTCACACAGGACATGTTTTCCAAACTATCTGGCTCTGTCTCCAATAATCCAGCACTTGTATTTGGGAAGTATTTGAGACTTTTCCCCATATATCCTTTTGTTTAAAGTATAGTGTTAACTTTTGAGGAGGTAAATAGTTTTTTACATAAATATTTCAAAAATATTTATTGAGAAAAACATGCATGTACAGTTCAGTTCAGTTGCTCAGTTGTGTCCAACTCTTTACGATCCCATGAACTGCAGCACGCCAGGCCTCCCTGTCCCATCACCAACTCCTGGAGTTTACTCAGACTCATGTCCATTGAGTTGGTCATGCCGTCCAACCATCTCATCCTCTGTCATCCCCTTCTCCTCCTGCCCTCAATATTTCCCAGTATCAGGGTCTTTTCAAATGAGTTAGCTCTTCACATCAGATGGCCAAAGTATTGGAGTTTCAGCTTGAAAATCAGTCCTACCAATGAACACCCAGGACTGATCTCCTTTAGGATGGACTGGTTGGACTCCTTGCAGTCCAAGGACCTCTCAAGAGTCTTCTCCAACACCATAGTTCAAAAGCATCAATTCTTCAGCACTCAGCTTTATAGTCCAACTCTCACATCCATACATTACCACTTAGAAAAACCATAGCCTTGACTAGATGGACCTTTGTTGACAAAGTGATGTCTCTGCTTTTTAATATCCTATCTAGTTTGGTCATAGCTTTCCTTCCAAGAAGTAAGCATCTTTTAATTTCATGGCTGCAATCACCATCTGCAGTGAGTTTGAAGCCCCCAAAAATAAAGTCAGCCATTGTTTCCCCATCTATTTGCCATGAAGTGATGGGACCAGATGCCATGATCTTAGTTTTCTGAATGTTGACCTTTAAGCCAACTTTTTCACTTCCTTTTTCACTTTCATCAAGAGGCTCTCTAGTTCTTCACTTTCTGCCATAAGGGTGGTGTCATCTGCCTATCTGAGGTTATTGATATTTCTCCCAGCAATCTTGATTCCAGCTTGTGCTTCATCCAGCCCAGTGTTTCTCATGATGTACTCTGCATATAAATTAAATAAGCATAGTAGCAATATATAGCCTTGACTTACTCCTTTTCCTATTTGGAACACGTCTGTTGTTCCATGTCCAGTTCTAACTGTTGCTTCCTGACCTGCATATAGGTTTCTCAAGAGGCAGGTCAGGTGGTCTGGTATTCCCATCTCTTGAAGGATTTTCCACAGTTTATTGTGATCCACACAGTCAGAGGCTTTGGAGAGTCAATAAAGCACAAATAGATGTTTTTCAGGAACTCTCTTGCTTTTTTGATGATCCGGCGGATGTTAGCAATTTGATCTCTGGTTCCTCTGCCTTTTCTAAAACCAGCTTGAGCATCTGGAAGTTCACAGTTCACCTATTGCTGAAGCCTGGCTTGGAGAATTTTGAGCATTACTTTACTAGCGTGTGAGATGAGTGCAGTTGTGCAGTAGTTTGAACATTCTTCGGCATTGCGTTTCTTTGGAATTAGAATGAAAACTGACCTTTTCCAGTCCTGTGGCCACTGCTGAGTTTTCCAAATTTGCTGGCATATTGAGTGCAGCACTTTCATAGCATCATCTTTTAGGATTTGAAATAGCTCAACTGGAATTCTGTCACCTCCACTAGCTTTGTTCATATTGATGCTTCCTAAGGCCCACTTGACTTCACATTCCAGGATTGCAATATTGCATATACAGATTGCACGTTAAAAGTGAAGAAGCACTTTCTACTGGGAAGACGTCTGTCAGCGACCTTGCATGGAATATGCTGTACTTGCATTCTGCCCTTCTAAAATAGCACAGAAAGAGAAGGCACAAAAGATCCTATTATGTTCTATATTAAATTTTCCACATATAGGAGGGGGCATACACACACACACACACACCAGTGGCTGATTGATGTCAGTGTGTGGCAGAGGCCAACACAACATTGCAGAGCAATTGTCCACCAGTAAAAAAAAAAAAAAGAAAATTTTACTTGTACAGTCATTTTATGTCACACCAAAAGCTGATTTCTTTTTCCCCTGAAAGGTTTCCTGATTTACTTCGCTTATGGCATTAGACACAGCCTGGAGGGTAATCCGAGGGATGAAGATGATGATGAAGGTATGTATTCAGACAACATAAACGCAGCAACAGAAGAAAAATCTGCCATGCAAGATGATGACCATCACCAAAGAAACCTGAGCTTACCTTTCATTTTCCACGAAAAGACGAGCGAATGCTAGTGCCTGCTGGGACAGAACTGGTCCAGAGTCTTCACGTACATAGTCTGCATGGAGGGAACCATGACGATGTCATCACCACACCAGGTTGTCATGGATTTGCTGCAGACATAGTTCACCCTAATTTATACTCACTCACCTGAACAGCACCTCCTCTGATGGTGACTCACACATCTAGGGAAACCACTCTGAGCTCGCTCCTCCATGATAAATATCCCCCAGAGAGTGGGAATGTGGGCGTGTGTGTGCATATGTTTGTATACGTTGGGGAATATCAATGTTAAAAGTTGTTGGTGTCTTACTCTTATCGCCTTGCCTTTTTCCAGTGTTGTCATTCATCGGTAGCCTCTATTGCCCACACTAAAATGGAGGTGATCACTGAATAGAAAAGTATCTTGAATGTGCTGGGTGTGGTTGGGGAAATAACTGTTGCTTTTCCTTATTGGACTTTATGTCAAGTTAGAACATCCTAAAATTGCGTTTACCCATCATTGTATCTGTCATTGGTCTGGAGTAAGGGGAGGGGATAGGAAATGAGCCTTTTCTGTAGCTTATAAATGTCGGCAGTGGGTTCAGTACAGAGTCTTCTTCTGTGAGGTGTGACAGTTTGCTGAAAGTTCAGCCAGTCGGATTGCTGGTGTCTGTAGTGCCCCGCAGGGCAGGAGCGGCCTCCTGTGTCAGCAGGTGGCAGGCACCCCTTTGAATGGCCGTCTTCTTTGAGACAGTGGTCCTTGAATGTGAGGCCTTCACCTTGTGTGATGATATCTTCCCCACGCCCCCACCCCGCCCCAGTCCAGTCAGGGGCTGGAGAGAGGTAGTGTGAGCTCGTAGGGACCCTTTGTGCTAGAAAGTGAAGGTGGTCCCCATGGGCAGGACGCTCGTGTAAGTGGCAGAGAGGAGGATGCATTTGAAGATCAGAATAGTTAGGTGCTTGGATAAGACCCCAAACACCCCTGTTTTAAAAGTCACTTAAAATTAGCCAGTAGAACCTCCCAGATCACATAATTGGTGGAATGATTTATACCTTTTTCCATTAGTTAATAAATAATCACAGTTCACAATTTATTTAGGGTTTTTTTTTTTCCTAAGCCAGTAGTAAATTCTATCTTTACTACATGCAAAAAAGGGGGGAAAAAAATGAAGGAATACAAGCAAATTCCCCTGTTCTGATTTTAAAGTCCCTGTTCAGTTATTAAAGGGCATTTGGCCCAATATGAGGGGTTTGGATTTAATTTGCTTCTGATGTTTCTTTTGGAAACATTTAGGGATATTTTTCTTCCCCATCCCATAAATTGTTCAGCACTTTTTATTTCATTTATTTTTAAATGACCACACTGAAACTACTGATGCAAGTTCCAGTATTCTAGAAAAAGCCATCAGTGGTTGAGGAATAGAATATTTTAGTTAAATACATGATTATTTAAAACATCAAGCCAAAAAATTAACCTAATTGAATTAAAGCCATAGAAACACACTAACCTTTATACGAGTAATTTGTTTTTAAATGTATGATTCTCAAATTACTGTATTTCATTTTATAGGGTTATCTAATAAGTGGACTGCTTATCTTCCGTGTATTTCGCTTCTCATGAATTACTTTTCTTACAAATAATTACATGGTTCACGAAATGAAACTAGCACATTATCAAGCCCAGGTGACCAGCTTAAGACAAAAGCAAGGAAAACACTTATTTTCTGACAGCTCTTCCAAGAGATCAGCCATTTTATTTTTGTCATTAAAAAGCAAGTTTTGATTGTTTAGGAGTTTATTGTGATGAAAAATCCAGTGAACAGGAAAGTCTGGGTGCTAGTGTTATAGCATCTCAGATCTAGAACTCAGAACTAACATTCCACAATTTCCAGGGTGCACATGGTAAAATCTGAGGCCCAGTATTGCATGTTTTACTGGAGAGGAAGAGTTGGCTGTGCAAGAGGCAAAGCATTTCTGTAACCATTACTGTGGGCCTAATCCTAGATCCTTGCTGTTACTCAGCATTCTGAGAAGCACTTTGATTCGGTAATCAGGCCCTGCACATGGGAATATGAAAATTTCACGTGTGGATATTAAACCTTTTACTGTAGCACAATCAAGAAATTTATCTAGAACGTGACAGGCAGCTAAAACTATTATGCCCACTGTGTTCAATTAGGAGCAGAATTGACTTAAAAATAATTTTTCCACCTTGAAACACTACAAACACAAATGTCTATGAAAGATGCATTGTTCATGACTATCCTTTTTTTCTGTGAAAACTCAATTATCTTTATATGTATGTATGAGTGTATATGTTAATATATACACATGTATATATATGTGTGTTTGTGTGTTTCAAATGTTGGTGTTTAAGTCAGCTGGGTTTATGATGGGCTTTGGAAATGATCCTGTTGTCTAGATTTTAAAAACCCAACTGACAAAATGTTTTGATAGGTAGCTATGCTTATGCAAAATGTTTAGGTTTTAAACTATTTTGAAATATATGGCAATTTTATATGTATAATATTTTCTATAGATAGATTCTTTCAGAAAGATATATTTATAATGTTTCTAATATGAAATCACTGAAGTCTAGTACATTAAGTGCTTTATGATCTGAAATGCAGTGGGGTGGGGGCATTAGGAAATTTCTGTTTACTTTTTTCTGCTGTGCCTTTTCTGACATTTCTGTCTTGGTTTGTGCTTTTTTAGGAAAAGTCAGTGCTACCAGGTGTTTTACTGTCTCTCTGTTCCTACATTTGAATTCACAACCTTTTGAACAAAATGTTGTTTTTGTTTTCTTAGGATTGCCAAAATGTTCTTTGTGGATTTTACTAGTAATCAGACACACTTATATAAACTTCTTTCCAGAAATTAAAAAAAAATACATATGCATTCTCTTAATTGTGATTGAGTAAAAACAGCTTAAATTACTTTTCTTTTTTTGCACTAGAAAATCTGCTCTCTGAACATTTTCAGTGAGAAACTTCTTATAATAGCACTTTTATTTTATACTCTTATGATTTGTGAATAACAATACAAAGGCCATACCGACCCTACATTTAACAAGGTAGCTATGCAAGTCCAAATTTAAAAACTATTTAAACTACTTATATTAGAACTTTTGATATATACTGAAATACAGATTATTGCTTAATTAATGCCATTTTCCCCAGAGATGGATATCTAGAAAAGTAAGACCAAAACATCATTTGGAATATATATATTAATGAAAAGCTAATGTTGTATCTATAAAATCTTCTATTGCCACACTTGATAGAAAATATCTGTTTCAGAATTATCTGTTTCCTTTAAAAGACAAGACCCTATCTTCTTTTAATTTTTCTGAATAAAGGATTTTTTAAACTTTAAAATAATAAATTTAAAATATTTTCTAAGTCCTGGGCATGTTACAATCTTTTGAATTAGAAATTATATTTACCAAGTGATTTTCTAAATGTATTTAACTGTTTAGCAGGGGGAAAAAAGGAATAGTAATCGCCTGCCAATGCTGATAATGCTGGAGGGACTAGATTAGTCTGAGCTCTTTTTCCTCTTAGATCAGCATATTCTGAGACTATAAACCACATGACACAATTGTGCCAAGATGCCAACTCTTCCTTCCCTGTGATGTTGCCCATGATGTTCTCTGCCTAGGTATCTGCTGATATGCTTCAAGCGACAGTAGAATTCAAACCAAAAATACGAATACAATGTCCCACCTAATTTTAAAGGATTGGGTTTAGAGTGTGCATCATGGAATATTAATATACACGCGCTTCGTGTGAATGTCTTGTGGGGGTGTTATTAGCTTGGTTTTTTGGCTTGTTTTTGATTTTGGACTAGTGCCAAAATAGTGCCTTCTCTGTACATTTTCTACCTAACATTTTCTAGCTTGTTCTAAAATATCAAGGGGAGAAGTACCAAAGTTCATGTAGGAACTAATGCCAGCACAGGTCATTGATTTTCAGACACATAGATGTGTGAAAATAACATTGTTTGACTTCGTTGTTTAGCCGAGTTTCTTTTTTATCTCCTTGTATAATTATATTTAAACATTTTTTAATGGCTTTCTGGTTTCTGAATTTTGAGAGGCCTGATCTACTGTTGTTGTGGTGGTTGGTTTAGTGGTTGGTTTTTGTAACGTTCGTTATTGTTTTTATGTACACAGTTTAGTCTTGTTCATTTCAAATGCATTTTGTTATGACTCAACCCAATCAGCAGCCCTGGGAGCACTATTTTAGCTTTTATGCACCTCAGCTGAGGCCACCGCCACTGTCTCTGGCTTTCAAGGGCCTTCAGTGACCCCTGACGGCAGCTCCGTGGGGGTCACAACCAGGACCATGGGGCAGGCAGGCTGCAAAGTGTGAGGTAGTCTGTAGCTACCTTTGTTGGGGAGTCTTGGGATGACAGGACAGGATATGAAGTGAAAAACCAAGGTAGTTGGGGTCCTTCGTTTCAGCTCCAAATATCCCGTGAGTACAAGGTAAATGATGAGGACCAAGGACCCTCTCCGACTCATGGGAAGGATGGCTGCTCCCTGGAACTGCACCATAGGTCCTGGCCCCTGGGGTTTCTGCACCAGCGTGAACAGCCTTGGCAGCGGAAGCGCATGGGCCGCGGCTCCGTTGGTAAAGAACCTTGTATTGCCAGCATGGCTGGTTTCTCTGGCCCATGCCTGGTTATCAGGCTCTTCATCTTGGGTATCCATGTGTTTCATTGCTTTCTTTTGTTATCATTGTACTTAATAGAAACCGTTGATAGGGCCTAAAACTCTACCGAAATTCTGTGTCTGTAAAAACCAACAGATACTTTGGTCTTACTCAAATACAGAGATTTTTTTTCTGTGTGTAGGATTGTAGATAATTTTAAATTTACACGTTTTTGATGATAATCAGCGTTCCTTTTTGCTTACAACATTGGATTATTTTTTAGAATTTGTAATAAATAAAAACTACTGCTGCTTCACCACTGTAATATGTGCTTTCTAACCATGTATTTTTAAAATAAATTTCAATATGACTTATCA